TGGTAATTCTTTATTATTGCACAAATGCGTGCTTAAAATTCTAATCTGTCTTCATTGCAATTAAAGAAGCAATAGCTGAAATATATATGACGCAAATCTGTCTGAAAAAATGCCTCATTTTTTGTTCCACTGTCGGAGTTTAATTAACTAATTGTTTTGACGCTAACAGCAGTTTTAATTTCCTTTTTGGCCCGGCTTTGAATGCGTGTAAAATTGCAATGCCCTTTATGCCGATTTTCCACTAATAAGTTCTATTTAGTACAAAAATTGCATAAATTATTTATTACTCACCCCGGAACAAACTCACGTTCCTCACCCCTCCCCCCCCCCACCCCACCCCATTTTGCCCAATCATATCACTGTATTTGCGACAATAAACGCAGACCTTATGACAGCCGACTTGGCAGACACCCAGTTTGAACTATTATGCCACCTGGGGGGGGGGGGGGGGGGGGGGGGGGAGAGAGTGGATAGCGGCAAATCGAGCTGTTCTTTTGCTTACGAAAAAAATGAAGCTAGTATGTAAAACATTTGTTCAAAATCAACTCCAATCATTCCTCCAACAAAATTCACTGTTTCTCAAACTCTACGAAATCAATTCGACAAAGTGTGGTTTAGCGATAATGCAAAGCAGATATGATATTCATTGAAATAGCCTAGGTTTTCCACGAAGGTAATATTATGACTACGGTGTTTCAGCTCTTGAGGGATGAAAGAAATAGTTGCTCGGTGAAGTCTTTTAGCCCTTTTTAGAGAAAGTGCACAATTTTGATCTGCAACGTGGAACAGGATTGTTTTGGTGCTTTAACCAGTCAAGCATTCAATTACTTCCTTCTCATATGTGACCATGAAAGAAACTTTGCTGAAATAAATAGAAACTGATAAAAAGCAAGCTCTTTTTCTTGAAGCTTAATATATTTGCTCAATGAAATGAAATACTCGATTCGGACTCCTAACCTTCAATATCGCCTTTCATTAATTTTGCTTCATTCTCGTGAAACAAGATGGTCTCTTCTGATCAAATGGGCATGATCTTTGTTTCACTTAGCTCATTCCTATGGTAGCGCCTCTCAATATGAAACCAGTGATTTCAAAACGTGCATTAAATGGGTTTCTAGAATATATGAATTCCGAAATTTTTGAAGGGATGAAATGTTTCAAGTGTCTTTTTTCTGGGTTAAAAATGTGTTTTAATGCTTAATAGCTCTTGATAAAAGCTTTTCAAATGCATCAATAAAACAAGTCTAAGTTCAAATTTTCATTAGTGGAATTTCACCAAACGACATTGAAACAACTAGTAACGCGTGTGAGTTAAAAAATGAATATTGTTTAAATTCATGAAAACGCACGCGAATTTGAATGAAAATGGCCATTTTATGGGAAGGCATTAACTCACTCAATTGGCAAGTTAAATTACTTTAGCTTATTAAGCTATATAATTTTGTAAATAATTTTAGCTCTTTAGAATTAGAAGAATTCAAATTTGCTTTAATTTTATTCTGGTATGATTTTTAAATTAAATTCATATTTGAGTATTCAAGTCGTTTGAAATTGAGCTCAAGTATTTTATTTTATCATTTACAAGCAATTTCTTGAACTAATGATTTTAGACCTGATATTTTATTAATAAATAATCACATTAATTAACATATTACGAATTTTTTTATCCTGAGCCTCTAGAGATTTGTCGAAATTTATTTTATTTGAGGGGGTGGAGCGATTTCTCGTTCATAATTCTAATAACGAAATGATGAATTGCATTTAATTTTATAAATAGAGCAAAATCTGGTGAATTTGAATTTTAGGCTGTTATTTAAAAGCTAATGCAGATTTTTCTTTGGTTAATAATTGCTTAGCTTGCCGATCCAAAGAACAATGGGAAATCGTGTAAATTTAAAATTCCACAGAAATTTTTGGCTCTTGCCTTCCTTCCAAATTAGACAGTTACGCCAATTTGACAAGAAAACATTATTTCAAATAAACGCACTAACCATTAAACAAATACAAAAAGCAAGTATATTTAACACCCTTGGAAAATTCACTAATTCTAAGCAAGCGTGAGTTGTGGTCTGGACGCAACCATATTTTGCTAGTAGCTTTCATTGCAAAGGAAAGTTTTCACTGAAGTCTCTTAAGTATTTTAACGTAATTGAAATATTATAAGTTAGTTTCTTTCCTCTAGTCAAAAAAACTTTTGTTTAAATATGCTTAAAGAATATCATCCTTGATTAGCTGAAAAATTTGGCAGTTTTGATCAAATTTCGTTACTCCTGGTTATAGTATTGATTAACCAAGAGGCAACTTATTCAAATAATCTAAAGTCATATAAGCTTATAGTTATTAAACCCAATAATGATTACCATGGGGTGTGCGATAGACTTACCTCCACGTGGTGCACTCTGGGCAACGTACACTCATACTGCAAAAAAGTCTATAAACCGGCAGTTGACTTCTCACTTCAAACTACTATGGCCTGACTGAATGTCATCTTCGACCACTTTCACAGTACTTATCTTGCAATTTCTCTGCTCTGCGTCTACTTGTCACTTACATCTGTGGATCACTCTACTGTTCCCCACCCCTCTACTTTCCCTTTAATTTGATGTTCTTTCCCCTCTGTGAAGCCTAAAGTCAACAAAAGGGCTAATAATGACTATCAAAACGCCTGCCATTTGATATAAATAATAATAATGATTACTGTCACTGAGTTCGATTTTCTCCACCTACTACCACTGGAATCTGGACGAATAGGTAGATTCAAAATGCTCAGAGTTGCTATTAGTTGTTTTTAACGTAAGACTCCATTCTCAGTAAGGTGTAACTTTATATATATATATATATATATATATATATATGAATCTCCTTTTTCACTAATTGATTGGAAAACGCATATTAATGTATTAGAATTCTCATGGCCTAATCTATTTAACTTAGTCCATAAAAGCTAACTGCGAGATAGCTGCTGTGATGGGAGTGATCCTATATGTGTCCGTTTGGGAGATTTGTTTCATATAATTGGGGTAAGTGCTTCATCCCCTCCCAGTCCAAAAGTGCTGCTTTTTAAACGAACCAGCACTGATATAGCATTCAGATATCTGGCGCTTCAGACACCCTTACCCTTTGTAGGACTTAAAACAACAAAATTTGTTTACCGGAAGTTGTTCCTGTCCATTGTAGCAGAAGAACATTAAGGCATCTTAGTGCTTCATAGACTCATGCAAAGTGAGATTTGCACATTTTACTCTGTAACAAGTAAACATGATTTGAAATGTGAATTACTTCGAAGTATGCATGTAGCTGCAAATATTATTATAAAAGGGCTGAATCTCGTTCCAATACATACAAGTTGGAATTCGAAACTAAACTCGGATCGATCCTAACCGAACCTTTTAATTATTCAGACATTTAGATTAATTTGCCATTTCAACAACTACAGGAAATGAAATGTCAATAGTGGCTGTAGGAAGATGACTTTCCGATTATTTATACTTTAAAAAATTAATTTGTTAGAGAGACTTAGCTGTTAATTGGGAGTTCAGATTCTGCAAATATTGATAGCTGTTAAATTAATTTCATTTTTTAGGCTGGTGTGTAGATGGGGTCTACTTAACCTTCCTATCTACTTATTAACTATCAGTAGAAGCGGCAGATACTGCGCACGCATGCTAAGACAATAATTATGGATTCAAGGTAGACGGACTAGCCATTGGTTAAAATCACATAATTTGAAGGAGTAAAACTTGGCAATCCATTGTTCACTTCTGATTAACGTATTAGAAATGCAGAAGCAGAGAATCCATCAAAGACGTCGGATGAGTAAGCTTTGTGCAAGGATATCAGAGGAAGAATGTGTCACCGATGGAAACAAGAATTGAAGCTTTTATTCTTTTCCTCCTCAGTGTTCCATTGCTAAAAGTTGATTTTCACATAGTTTTGAATTGTTTCACATACTTCGAAGCATATGATTGATCCCAAAGCCCGGAGTTAAAATCAAAGCTTTATTTTTTTGGCATAAGGTGAGAGAATTCCTGGCTGGCTTTAAAACAACAATGCAAATAATTATCCTATTTAAATATGGGGGGAACGACTGAAATCGATTAAGCAAATTATAGATGAGAAGTGAAAGCCTCAAATGATAAGTGAAAATGAGATAAAAGCATTCAAACACTTAGACGAGCAAAAGTCAAAGGAAGACAAGCACTTCGCTGGAATTTGGGAATCATCAGGCTTAGCCAAATGCTTTTTACCCAAATGATAAAGCTTATAATGCCATTTCCAGGAACCGCCTTCAAGTTTCTTGAATTAGTCCATTTTCACAAACGTTAATTTGTTGGCAAAGTTTATGAGATTGAATAGTTGTCCATGGCAATCAAATAACGCCTTATTTTACGAAATACGTATTTTATCCAATAATTATTTTCCTTAATACAGAAACGACCAATTTCAACTCAGAGGGATTAAGATTGCCATTTAGAGCAAATATGTTTACGACACTGCATGTTCAAAAAATAATTCATTAACCAATCAGTTATTAGATCATTTCGAAACCGAGAAATTTCAAGCATACACTGAGGCTCAGTATACCAGTCGGAGCGCTTAGGCTCACCAGTAGTATATCTGTGCATAGGCCAATCAGGTATGATGGATTAATTTAGCACTTATTGCCGCTATAGCTATACGTGATAATACAGAAAATAGAAAATAAAAATATGATATCCCATGGTAAATCCCCTTAATAGGTTAGTCATTCTTGAATTCAGTATCCATGACTGAGTTGGTCGACCTTTAATCACTATTACCGGGGTTTCCAAAAATTCACTCATCCGAATAAGAGCCTTAAATTATATAAGTAGGTAGTGTTTTAAAACGAAAATTTGTCGGAACACATCGATATTACCAGCCACAAAGATCAACCAGAAGGACAAAGCAGTAGTTCTATCGAATCATCAATATTTTAAAATAACTGTAATATACACACGCAAATTAGTTATAGAGCACAACTAATTTGTTTCCATTGTTTCAAAAGATTCGTCATCCCCTGATTCCGCTGATTCAAAATCCATGTTGTCAATAGCTTCATCGTCATCATCACCCTCATCGTCAGTAGTAGTATCTGCTAAATCAGTCTCCTCTTCGTCAGAAACAAGTATACCACTAACAGAAGTCCACCCAGCCTCTAAATCAGCATTGAATGGTTCTGAGGAGTTTACAATAGCCACCGGACAGAAGTCATTGTCTGTCTTGGCCCGAGGAAGTTCTGTAAAGCAAAACAATCCGTCGGTAGTTTATGAAACAAATAGCTAAGAACAGCCAAGTTCATCTAACTCAAATATGGGACAGCCACTACCATTCGTGATAGTTTAGCCATGTACGTTAGCACTTCTACCAGCCGACCTTTTAAATAGCAAAGAAAGAATTTGCCAGTGGCTAAGTGGTTAAATATATTTTTTTAATACCACATCAGTTAGCCTAACTGTCAGCCCCACTGGTGTAGTCTTTTAAAAGGAATGGAGGAACTTGAGTCTCCATGATGCTAAAGAAGCATGGTCATAAATAGGCCTCTGGCAATGTAAAAAACCGATTTAATTATTACTCCGACAAAAGATAATCTTTCGGTATTAGAATGTCTAAATTTCCTCTTCCTCCACATCTAGTCAATATAATTATGGCAGTTATTCGTTCCAATGTCTCCATCTCAATTGCCCAAGCTCCCAAAAATTTCATAACTAGTGGCTTAGGGAAAGGACAACTAAAGTTATGTAATCAAACCTATCTTAAGTGGCCTACAACTTGGTCGCCGTAACAAGGAGATTTACCGATTGGCGATGTGAAGTGACGCAATCATTGGCATACAGTGACCTGACCCTACAACTCAAATGATCACCAAAATTTTCGCCAATAGATAGGATATTTAGATACTTATTTAAATGTAATCAAATGGCCATTCTTGATAGTAGTATCATATTCACTCATTGTGTTTGATGAAATCTTGACGAACATAATTCGAATTGGCTAAGTCTGGGGCGTTTCTCTGATAAATATTTAAGTGAACAACGTTAGTAAATACTAAACTTCACATATCAAATATCGATTTTCATGGGAATCATTACATATGTGGGATCGAAACCTATATTATAAGGCTGACGATTAACCTCCCGAACCAAGTGGAAACGATATAGCTGATCTTCATGTCTCCAAGTAATTCCTTTATCAAACTTGCGCTAACGAGCAGTGACAATTTGGAAAAGTGGCTTTTGACTAAGCAAAAAACATATGACTAGAAGTTCATTGTAGTAAGACGCTCAATTAAAGTGGCCTATAAGGTGTATAATTGTATAAGTAATGCTTATGAAGCGTGGAGTGTGAACAAACATTCCAGCAAATAGGTGTTAAGGAAAGGAAAGAGAAAAATTAAGGCACTATGGAAGGATAAACTTACTTTTAAAGATAGCCTCATCGAGTTCTGGTAAAGGAAGGTCGACATCCTCCAAGGCGATGATTGCTGGCCTTATGGGTTCAGCAATAGGAGCAGAGCTTTCTGGAGGAAGTGTGTAGTGCGCTAATTTTCCGCTATAAAGTCGAATCGATATATAATTCATGACAGTTAACGCGGTACATACTCAGCTTTAATAGAAATGACATTCCAATTTCAGAAATGTCAGGTATCAACATGTAAAAGCTAACCAGGAGACGAATGGGTCAAGAAATGATCGTCAAACCAAATAAAACTATAAGGATTTGGAATTAGTTACTCAACTAATTATAAAAAAACCCCATAAAAACCCTACATAACAGAGGCAAGAACTCACGATATCCAATCGTTCAGCAGAACACGAGCGGCACTTTTAACATCTGGTATACCTCCTTTGCGTAACTTTCCCATTCGTTGAGCAAGTTTACACAGGAAATCAGTAGTGCTAGCGTAATCGGAAATAGCATATCGGATCATTATTTGCCGTTTAGGACACCAGGAAAGGATAGAATTAACCGCGGGTTCGGGATTTTCAATATTTTCAGGCTATATAAACAAAACATTTAACCACAGAAGGAAAGAACAATGAATCCCAGTTTTAGATAAGCCTACCTTTGTACAATTGCGAAGGACCAATTCACACTGATCGATCGACTTTGAGAGAACAACACCAGGGGAATCGATAATCTTAAACTTGTTGTCAATTTTATAGACTTGGCATTCTCTGGTTAAACCAGGAACACAGCCACTTGTGGCTACTTTACGGCAAACTAAGGTGTTAATTACAGCACTCTTTCCAGTATTAGGCAAACCAACAACTCCCACAACAAGATGACCACCATTATGACGACGAACATTTCCCAATAAGACCTTCAAACCATCAACACCGAGGCCTTCTTTGGATGAAATGCCATTGCTGAATGGAATTTTGCCACGAACATTTCCAAGGCGGTTAGATTTCTCCTGAGTATTAGCCTTGAATGGCATAGTGGTGTACCACTTTCTGAAGTACTCTAACCATTGCCGGAGAGCATCACGAGGAATGAGATCGATCTTATTCAAAAGAATGATGAGCTTTTTGCCGGCGGCTAAAACTGCATTTTCCGCTTCAAGACTTCGAGTGCCGAGTGGATCCCTTGCATCAAGGACTTCAACAATAACATCAGCTTTACGAACAACAAGATCAAATTGCTTAGAGAAGGACACCTTTACTTCCTGCTTTTTAGACTTCACTGAAGCACTTTCAGATTTGGAAGATTGCTGCAAAAGATTCTTACGACGTTCGTTCTCAATCTATATAATAAATATCATAAATGTAAAATTGCCTTTTTAGTTTCCTTAACGTGCTCTAAAACTTTTTCCTTGAAAGGTAATGAATTAGGAACACCGGGATCTTTTCCTAGAAGCGCTATTAGAAATCAGAATTTTAAAATACTTTTAAAAAGTTTTGGATTTTTCTTTTTTTCTCTACGGATTTTGCGATGATGCTCACGAACCTTCCGTAAGATTTTAAACCTCTGATGGCAAGTTACACGCTTACTACGGTTTTCTAAAATCATTAAGTAAAGAAAGTAAACGCACTTCGACAGCTCTTAACCATTTCTGCACGTGATTCAAAAGGACACGCAATAAATTCAAAAGAAGCCGGTAGGTTAATGCTTTTTAAAACATTTTCGTAAGATTATAAATAAAATCAAGTTATATTAATACATAAAAATCTCAAAATTAAAATTTCTTTAAAATATAAATTAACAATGATTTTGTAAAATTTCATATTAGAATTGTCATTTTTACAACTATTTATTCTCATAAATGATTTTGCTTCCCAGGATTAAAATGGACCACATATTTGTAATATATACTTTTAGTTGTCGATTAAATTGCTGAATATGAATTTTTATCAAATTGGTGTACTTTTTTGTTCGTGAATTTTCACGTTCAAGGACGCAGCTCATCTCAGCCCTCCCCGTGGGCGTCGCTTGAGGTATCGCATATTTGTTTTCAAATCGTTACAACTTTTCTTCTGTTTTCTCATCATGATAATATAAATCACTTTATTTGCTTCATTTATTTTGTTATTTCAACATGTTTTGTCCTTATTTCATCATATAACTTGTATTCGTCCTTGATTTGCTGTATTGTTTGCATATTTTAATTATAATCTTATCAGAATGGCAGCAAGGAAGTTCATTGACATTGGCGCAAACCTGACGGACAGTATGTTCTCAGGTTACTACAATGGCTCTCAAAAACATAAAATAGATTTGGATCAAGTACTATCCAGAGCATTTCAGGCCGGTCTGGAAAAGATTATTGTAACGGCTGGTTTGACTCTAATTCCTTGGTAACACTTTACTCTTTTTTCAGGTTGTATGAATGACATTGCAGCCGCGAAATCTCTCTGTTCATCCGATTCGCGTCTTTTTTATACAATAGGCTGCCATCCAACTCATTGCAATGAATTTGCTTCTCTTCCCGATAAATACTATAATGACCTGAAACAGGGTGTTATCGATGGCGACTCTAAAGTGGTTGCTATTGGTGAATGTGGTCTAGATTACGATAGGTATGTCCTTGATCACCTGTTACCCAGACTATATTTTCTCAGGGAACATTTCTGTACTCGAGATGTTCAATTACCCTATTTCAAAAAACAACTGTGCCTTGCGTCCGAAATGAATCTGCCGCTATTTTTACATTGTCGTAACGCTTTTGAAGCCTTCATTGAGTGCATCAAAAAGCATGTTGAGGAGCATGGACCTATCCATGGTGTTGTACATACATTCTCTGGAAACAGTGATCAAGCCAAAGAAGTGCTTGATTTGGGTTTATATTTAGGATTCAATGGATGTAGTTTGAAGACAAAGGCGAACTTGGATGTGCGCTTCAGTAGTTTCTTTTCACCGTAATTATTTTGTTAATTATTTAATTTTAACTTTTTATCTCACTTAAGATAAATAGTAAAAGCTCAGATGCTTTTGTAGTCCTTATACGTAAAAATCGATTGATCATTGATTTTCTCCCGTAATATCTTTTTGTGGTCATTGGATCTAGTATCCAAGACTTATCAATTGGTTTGCAGAAGTTTCTTGATCCGCTGCTGTTCACATAGCTTTGGTTATACGAGTACACTTATATATGTCTACATGTTCACACAAGAATGTTCACAGAATAATAATAATTTTCAAAATTTTTTTCTTTATCAGTGACAGTGGCTTATATACTCTTTGAGTATCGTTCTGATATTTATAGTTGCTCAATGTCTTATGCTATGACCGATCCAGTTTTTTAATTTATGTTATCTTCAAATAAAATATCGATTCCTCACTTAGGAAAATTTAGTTTCTTATGTAAATGGTTTTGGGCTTCTTGCTTTGCCAATAGTTGCAGCTTCGGTGAGTCTTCAATCGTCAACATGTGTATTGAAAACGTATAATAAATAAGCCGGAGTATACGAAGTACTACTTTCAATATAGTCTCATGGACCCCTTTGTTCTTTTAACTTAAGATAAGGATTCGAGTCATATTTTTTGTGCTACCTCTGCTTAGTGGGTTTATAAAGAGTACTCTCGGTGCGCTGGTTTTTTTCTCTTTTTTTGCGTAAAAGTTTACCCACTCGTCGCTTCATTAGCATTATAGTCAGCCAAATGTTCCCCGATACATTAAGACCTATCGTATTCTCTCAAAAAAATCTTTGTCTGTAAATTTCTATCATCCTTGTGTATGTTGCTAAATGAGTAAACTATCTCCATGCCTGATGTAATTTCAGTTTGCTTTTTTAGTTCTAAAGCATGCTTTAAAAATAATCAAACTTTTTTGCTTTGAGAAATCAATGACTGACCACTGTTTATATACGCTCATTTGTCTTTGATTTCGTTTAAGTGCAGATACTCTCCATATGAATTGAGACATGCCCTCTTCCAGTAACCACCTTAATTTTAGTAGCTCGTTCACATCGGGGTGTGTGCTTATGAATAAAGACGACTTTAGAAGAGATTTTAGCGATTATACGGAGTCTTAACTTCCTGACGTTATTTTGAAATAGTATGAACTGTATTAAAAGCAAGGAGCCAATAACACCTTAATTAATTACAATGAAGATGACTTCGGTCTATCGTGATCTCTCCTCTGTAGGTGAATCGACAGCAGATAAATAAAGCGTGTGATTAAGCCCTCTATGATAATCTTTGAAAGCACTGATTTTGGGTTGTGGAGCGGGGAAGAGCTATCCTAAAGCCGATCCCACGAAATGCTAGCATGTTATTATTCCATTTGCTAATTAGAATTTGCCAATTCGATTGACCACCCACATCACTAGGTTTGTATCGATAGCCCTCGTTATCACTCTCTTCCTCTTGTCAGTGAATTCAGATTGGCTTGTTCGCAATCTGACCCCCATTATAATCTTAACTTGGTTTTGCAGTCATTGTATTTTAAGAAAATAATTTACTCATTCACTTCTCTAATTCCCTAGGTAATTGCAACCATTCCCCAGGATCGTATTTTGTTAGAAACTGATGCGCCTTGGTGTGATATCCGACCAACCCATGCGGGTTTCCAGTATGTAAAAACCAAGTTTGAGAAAAAGAAGCCCAACAGGTGGTCACCCGAGTGCATGGTAGTTGGTCGGAATGAACCTGCCAACATCGTTCAGGTACTCGAAGTTGTTGCCGGTGTTCGTAACGAGTCACCAGATGAATTGGCTAAAGCTGCATATGAGAATACTCTTAAAATCTTCCCTCGACTGATGTAAAGTAGTCTTTTTTTACTTAAATATTATCTCCTGATGGAGTTGTAGTTTGTCATTTTTAATGCGGGACAAGAATGTAAAGGTTATTCGTGTAATTAGAATATTTTCTTCCGGGAAAAAGTGCTATGAGACCCCATTAAACGTCTATGATGCATTTGAGTGAAATTCGCAATATTCATTCCCGTGTATAAGATTATCGATCGTTGAATTTATTCACTCGCACCATTGAAGATCTTGCTCCTGTGGTTATTGGCAAACTGGATAATCAATCCCGTTTTGCACTCCAACTCAATTTAAGTAACTTCAATTTCTGTTTAAAAAAGGCAGCTGTATGAGATACTAAATATTTTTTTTTGGGGGGGGGGGGGGAATCGATTCGAGTCATCTCAATAATTTCGAAAATAACAAGGCTTGCTTTAACCAACTATAAAAAAAATTCGCAGCTTATTTTAGTCACCTTATACCAGTCGGAGAAATAAGTCAAAATATGAACCAAATCTGATTTGGGAATATTTCCGGCTCTTCATGCAAATTTCGCCCAAACAGGAGTTTGACGCTGCTTTTACTGTGCTAATGTTCGATGGAAAGAACCAGTTGGTCTTAACAAATCAGTAAAAACTACATTTCGTGAAAAGCAGAGGTGGCAAAAATGCCACTTATCAGACTGAAAGCCACAAGGTTGTGACAGCAAGATCGATGCGAGCCTCGTTGAATTAACTTTTATGGAAATGTCAAAAGTATCCAGAGCATTTCTCATTTGGAGCAAAATACTCAGGGACCAAGTTTTCATAAGATTTCATCTTATGGCCACCTATTTGCTTCTCCTAGCAATGCACTGCTTACCGGGATTTAGTTAGTATCATTTTTAAAGGAAGGCAAAGAGCCCTCCTTACTGCTTACCTCAAAACCAGCTATCAATTTACCCATGTTATGAATATAGTTAGAGCCAAGTTGATCAACGTTTTACTGATATAATTGGCATAAAACATGTCCGTCTCATATGACAAGAAGACCTCTGGATACTTTGTCTACATAATAATTATTCAATGTACTAGTAAACCTTAAAAGTTAACGAAATAAGAAGGATCGATTGCGGGATGCTGCACAGTACATTGAACCAAATAACAGGTATGAAATTACTGCCGAAATTAACTAACAGAAGGGTGAACGTATAGCATAATTAACGATAAACTAGAATTAATAATATTGCATGTTGCAAGGACACTACAGATAAATGGTTAAGAGGATGGTGTATCCACTCCAAAGAATTCCAGAATGTTCGATATCGAGTATGCATCATTTCCAACCTAGTAACAAAACTATTAAATTCCATATTCAAGTTACTATACGGCGACAGTACAAACTAACTGCTTCCATCGCACATAAACGAAAAAAGTCCATTACCTTTACATGTAAAAAATTTTATAGATTTCAGATAGTAAAAATCATTAATATCACGTTACTTGGAAGGAGTGCTACTCCAGTATGAGGGATCACCGGAAGGACAGATGTAACCGACGACAACGAGTACAAAATCCACAACACTCCAGACTCCGAGACCACCGAAAGTAAAAAGTTTTCCAAGGCCTTCCCTCCACATACCGAGGTAGAACCGATCGGCGCCCAAACCACCAAGAAATAAACTCAGGGTAACGGTTGTGCCATAGCTTTTTCCGGTCGGGTGAACACAATGGCGCATCCGAAGAAATTCTCGACGACCCAGACAGACAATTGATGATTTTGCATAACAACGGGCAACATAGTAACTGCGAGCGACACCGGGTTGAGTACAATCGTGCAATGGTGGACTACAGACATATTCAGATTCCTTAGTGAGTTGATGACAATAGCGGCAAATCATTTTACGAAGATGAATAGGGTTCGTATTATTTGGGGCACTTTGGCACGATACCAGAGATTTACACTGTACATCAATAACTGCCCCATACCGACAAGTATCATCAAATTCGCACTCAATTTTATCAGCACTTATCTTCGAGCAAGAAGGAATAGCCAACGTCAAATATACTTGACAAAAAAACAAAACTGAAAACAGCATATCACCTAGTATTTCAAAACAGGATACATCTTGTAAAATAATTAAAGCAGATCAAGCTAAACGACTTTAACTAGCATAAAAACCAACATAGATAACTCATCCTGTCCGCCAGACCTTATGTTGATACAAACAAATTACAAATGTGATAGTTCGAAATGAATATCCGATCCCACTTTAGTGCATTCATTTTATTTCTTCTATAAATAATATTAATTTTGATTCACTTTATTTTAAACGTTTTGTCTATGATAAATGCTGTTTCTATGATGGATGCCTAATTCTTTGACCTTTAATCCACCAGTAAAAATACCCTTTGTGCATCTGCACATTTTAAAATGAGTGTTGTTTCCCCTTCGGAAGTTGATGGAATTTGGAAAATGCTCGATGAAATGGCTACTAATGATCCAGTTAGCTATCAGAAATTTATAGTTGAACAATTAAAAAAGGCACCTGATATTCTCAGTCAACCGCAGTGTAGAGGATTTCTTAGGTGTACACTTAAAGTAGGCTTGCCTATTTTGTGCAAATTTCAGTCAAGTTGTTCAATATTCATCAATCTCTGTGAATGGCAACTTATCGACAAACCAGAATCAGAAACAGCTCCTATTCCATTCTATTGTGGAGGCATTTATAGTGCCAATAATGGTAAAATGTTCGTTAAATTGCTACACGTTCTTTTAGCAAAGGTCACCTGTGTCGCCATGCATCCATCAGTGTTTGCCCATTATAACATTTTCCAAACAGCAAGAAAACGCGATTCTCATATAAATCAACTTCTTACATTGATAATTCTTTTTATAAAGCATGAGAAAAGTATTCACACGATTGAGTGGGAGGAAATAAATGCTAAAAAATTAGTAAAATTCGACATCACTTGGCGTTCAGAACCTTATGGAGGTGAGTCTGAAATGCTCAAATCTCTGCGTCATGAGAAATTCTTTCTTGGCAATACTTCTGAACACCTACTGGATTCGAAAAACACGGCTACGCTAGATACTTGCTCTAGTATTACACCAGAAATTGAACAGTCTCTTTCAGAACCAATAGGAAACTCAAAACTAGTCCAAGAAGTTAAACCTACTCCCTGCTGGCGTCTCAGCAGGCACAACAGAAAGCCCAACACCTGCCAGTACGTTATCATATTGCCCATGGGCTTGAAAATGGAGAACTGCACACTGGACATATCTGAAGTAGGTATCGACCAATCTCAAAACTCGCTTCCTTAGACAACTCTCTCATTACAACTAAGAAATAATCCCGTATGCCCAGAAACCTTCAGTGCCCAATTCGACAAACCAATCAACACCCAATTAGCAAAAGCAAAATACATTAAAAACAAGCATTGTCTGTCCGTAACTGCCCCATTTCTATGAAATGAAACTTATTAAAATAAAATATCTAAAATCCTCAAAGAAAGACATCGGCATTCATAATATTATTTACAGTAAATAAAGGGGTGAAAGTATATCTACAATACAGATTTAGCAGAATACTCGCTATACACAGGAGTAGTAGAGTTCATTACTGGGTCAGCAAAGCGGCCTAGCTTAGATCCTTAGAAGGCAAGTCATTCGTCGTCTGAATTGAAGCATCACTACTCTCTTGAATAGACGCGGTATTTGAAGCTAACTCAGTCAGGAGAGAAAGGATGGTACTTTGAGCATCTGCTGAAGAACTTTCCCCATTCCCCAGAATCGACTGGAAGACATCGACAATACTTGGGTCGGATTTTATTGCTTCTTGCAGCAGTTTTTCTGGGGTACTGAATTGCAATGCAGACGTCAAGTCCGCCAGTAAATTTAATGCCGGTTTCTCTGAAGTCGGTACTTCCGGCATTAATTCAGCTAAATTATCTGTTGATGATGAGGATGAAATTTTAGCACCCAGATTAATCGGAGGCAGTTCAAAGTTCGACTGCGGTTTGGAACTATTTGTAGAGGTAGAAGAAACAGGCTGTTGTTGCTGACTAGAATCCCGGGAAATAATTCCCAATTTTTGGTTTCTAATCTCCTGCCTTTGATGCTGCATATCCTTTCTCCTCTTTTTACTCCACATTTCATGACAATGGAGATTTTCGGGAACTCTAAAAACAATGATTAATTAAACAAATCTCAATTTTACTTTGGAGGTGGGATCTTCGCCGAGTCAATATTCTTCAACCAATTTGATTCCAGAGCGTCTTTAGCACTGCATCGTTTTCGTGGATCAAGACTTAACATTGAATCGAGAAGATCTAAAGCCATAGGAGGGAGCCTACAAATGATGAATTATATAAAACCCAACACTCGACCTACATTGAATAATCCTGCCTCAGACGGCGTTTAAACGGATACTTTGGTCTAAAAACGTGGAACATTGGCAGTCGTTCAACGCCCGGCCAAGTTTGGGGATCTGGGCAACCACAAACCCTAGAGATCACTTGAAGTTGTTCCATTTCTTCATTTGCGGCAAACATTGGTTTTAATGTAAAAAGTTCACCGAGGATGCAACCACAAGACCAAATATCAACAGCCGGACCATACCGCTCTTCACCAAGAAGCAGCTCAGGAGGTCGGTACCAGAGGGTAATAACCTTGTTGGTATAAGGTCGCTCCTTATCATCGGCAAAGTAGAGTCGAGCCAGACCAAAGTCTGCTATCTTAAGCTGGCCCCTATTGTTGATGAGAATGTTAGAACACTTGATATCACGATGTAGGAAATTCTTGTTGTGGCAGTAGTTAATGCCAAGCATTAGCTGCTTCATTAGTGAAGCAACTTGAAGTTCAGAGAACTGTACAACGCCAGAAGCCAGTAGACCATAGAGATCATGATCCATATAGTCAAAGACCAGAAAGAAAGCGCCCTTGTCTTTCTTAAAATCGCTAGGGTTATCCTTATCGGTGACAATCTCACAGAGATTAACGATGTTTTCGTGATGGAGTTGACGAAGAATCTTTATCTCTCGCACAGCGGTGATTGGAAATCCCTCGCGTTCATTCTCGAGGCGTACTTTCTTAAGAGCCTTTATCTCACCAGTGAGACAGTCACGGGCTCGATAAACGTGGCCGTAAGTTCCTTCTCCGACCTGGTCCAAGGTTTCGAATGCACTTACTGAACGCTCGCCCCAGGTTAGGTTATTTCTAGTCTTGCTTCGGAGTCCACATATTCTAAAATCAGTAACTGAGCATATGAGCGCAAAACACTACCGATCAAAGTTTGAGACTTTCTTTGCTACACTTAACAAAAGCGCAAAAGTGAGTAAACAAATAGCAAATTTGAATTGGAGCGGATAACCAGAGGTGACGATAAATGCGAGTACACTTTAAAAACCTTCCATTAACCTAAAACTATGTTCCACCACGCATACATTACCATTTTTAATTATGACGGATACAATTAAAGAGTACAGGAAACAGGTAAAATTAAGAACAATGGTTGTGCTGAAGTAGTCGTGATCTACAATATCAGATAAAAGAGAAATTTGACATTCACCTGAAATTGATTAAAATATCTATCCATCCACTCTTTTATCAGTTGCAAAATTAATCTGCTTGCGACCCCACTATTTCATACATTTCCAGTCAACGACGGAGTCTTCTTCGACAAAAAAGCCCTTACACTAAAATAGATGAACATGAAAATCAGAAATGTTAATAAAGGAATTTCAAAACATGTCTAAATTCACGTTTGTAACACGAACAACAGATAAGTAAAGTTCCCATTACAAAAAATACTATGGAAGAATTTCCGAATCTTTGCATAAATTAAATCAGTCAAAGAAGGAGTATGCGCTAGGCTTACCTCCACGTGGTGCACCTTTGGCAACGTATATTCGTACGGCAAAAAGTCTATAAACCGGCAGTTGACTTCTGAGTTCAAGCTATCATGACCCCACTGTACGTCATATTCGACCACTTTCACAGTACTCACCTCACCTTTCATCTATCTTTAACGTCTTTAAAACAATCTTCTGTACCCACCCCCCTCTCGACTTTTTTCCCATTGATGTTCCTCTCCCTCCGTGAAGTCTGAAGTCAACTAAGGGGCTAATGATAACTATC